TCCAGGGAATGGTCCCTTCTGACAACATGACCAAAGTAGGTGAGACGAAGTCTGGCCATTCTTGCCTCCAAGGAGCATTCTGGCTGCACTTCCTCTAGGACAGATCTGTTAGTTCTTTCCGCAGTCCACGGTACTTTCAGCATTCTCCGCCAGCACCCCAATTCTACCTTGGTCTTCCTTATTCATTGTCCAGCTCTCACATGCATATGAGACGATTGAAAATATCATGGCTTGTGTCAGAGGCACCTTAGTCCTCAAGGAGACATCTATGCTCTTCAGCACTTGAAAGAGGTGCTTTTCAGCAGATGCCCAGTGCTATATGTCATATGCTATTCATAAGGTTTTCCCTGGCTAATTGTTTGAGAAGTGGGTGGCCTCTTCCTTCTTCCTAGTCTGTCTCAGTCTGTAAGCTGCATTGACGCCTGTGCACCACGTGCAACCCTGCTGGCGTTTGAAACACCGGTGGCACAGCCTCAAGCCTCATAGCAATGTGCAAGCCCCACAGAATGACACACTGACACACAAGTATGTCTCCCTTAGCTGTTGGACAGCTCTGCACCCTCTCCTTACCTAATTCCTACCTGGATCCTGCCACTTTGTGGTTCCCCCACCGCTCCCTCCCTTTCCTGGCTCTAGGGGGCTGGGGCCTTGCCTGCAGCAAGGACAGCAGCAGTCAGGACGTCAGACGACGTACAGCACTGGGCAAATTGGCTGCAAAGGACCTCTTTCAAGTGCTGAAGAGCAAAGATGTCTCCTTGGGGACTAAGGTGCGCCTGACAAAAGCTATGGAATTTTCAATCATCTCATATACACGTGAGAGCTGGACAATGAATAAGGAAGATCAAAGAAAAATTGATGCTTTTGAGCTGGGGTGTTGGCAAAGAATTCTGAAAGTGCCATCAACTGCTAAAAGAACTAACAGGTCTGTCCTGGAGGAAGTGCAGCCAGAATGCTCCTTGGAGGTGAAAATGGCCAGACTTCGTCTCACCTACTTTGGTCATGTTGTCAGAAGGGACCATTTTCTGGAGAAGGATGTCATGCTTGGTAAGGTGGAGGGGTGAC